ATAAGTTTTTATTAAAAAAATTAAACTTTTTAATAAAAACACAGGCAAATTTGTCTGTATTACAATTTAAGGGATAAGATATGTAGTCAGTCCTTAACCACAGTATTTATCTGAGTTGTATAAAGCGATTAAAGTTGTATCTGAAAATAGAGAATTTTCTACTAGTGTAACAAACACATAATTTATCTTCTTATTTGCGATATAATTATCACCATTAATATTAAAGCAAGTAAAATTAAATCCTTACAATTAAATTATATAAAATATAATTTCGATATTGTATTTTATTCTTGTTTTGACATATTATGAATTCAAAGTATTGATCATTTCATTCAAATCTTAAATCGGGTTAAGTGAAATAATTACTGTTATAGTAGGCAATCAGTAATTATTTTTTTTCACAACTGTTATGTAAATGGTCTCGATTTAGAGTTTAAAATGAAATAATCATCTAAAAAATAATTTAATATCAATATTGTAACAAATATTTGAATCGATAGACTATAGAAGAGTGTTAATTTAGAGATTAATGGAAATAGATTTGGTTACTATTGCCTACTGCTTACAATATTCCTAAAAATAATACCTTTATGATTAAAATTCAGATATTACTCATTATCTTTACCAATATTTCTTGAATAAGATCTAGGAATATAACTATACATATTGATTTACTATTATCTAAATTTGAATCTAATTTAAGAGTTTGAGTTAAATTTGGGATTTGAGATAGGATTTGGGATTTGGAATAAGATTAGGATAAGATTTGGGATTTGGAATAGGATATGGAATAGAGTTTGGGATTTGGTCAAAGTTTGGGATTTTGCCAGTAGTTTGGAATTATGGCAGCCTAAATAGGACTATTCCAGTTTGGGATTTGGAATTTTTCCACTTGGGACTTGGGTTTGAGTAGGATTTTAATGATTTATAGTTTGGGCAGCATATATATATATGGAGGCCACCCTAATAATTTACAATAACAGAGAGCAAGAATTGAACACATATCGTGACCATATAAACACTTTATATGTTCGTCACAAATTTTTCAGCTATAGCAGCCTACGATGAAGGCCACTATCTCCACCTAACAATAAACTGGATTCAATACTTTTTGACCATAATATTGAGGCTAAAGGAGAAAACCTCGACATATTCACAGCCAAAAAACAGCGCAGCCCCAACATTCCTTGCTCCTCTAGACCTGATATTACTTTGATCGATAGTAGAAAAATATGTTTTAACTAGAACTGCAAGGGCTGCCCCGAAAAGAACAACTGCAGGCACGCATATATATGCCTAATATGCAGAAAACAAGGACACCCAGAATGACACTGCTACTACAACAACAAAAATCTCCCTCCTAGGCAAACTGACTCCCAAAACCAAGAGTTAACCAAATAACCAGTTACTTGTATAGAGATGCACGTGTTAGTAATACAAAGATTTGCATATATATATATATATATATATATATATATAAAAAGAGAGAGAAAAACCACAATAAGGATAAAAGCAATAATAACAATGATAGCAATAATAATAATAATAATAATAATAATAATAATAAAAATAATAACAATAATGACACAAATAACAGAACTCTCTCTGTTGATCACCAAAACCAAATTTGGAGCTAAAGAACAACCAGGGCTCAAACACAATTTTATTAAGACAACAACAGAACTTGCTTTAAGCAAAAAAATAGAACACAAGAAAAGAACTTGAGTTTCTTAAAACAACTTTACTCACTACGCTCTCTAAAGTGCAATACTGAAAAAAATAAAGCACTTTTGTCAAAAATTTAAAAAATTTTAAGAAATTTTGGGGATTTGCCATTATCCCTGTACTGCAGATAGAGTTGGAGACACAGGGGCATGGGCATGCCTTTTGGGGCATGCCTCTAGGGCATGCCTGTAGGTATGCCAAAAAACAAAAGGCATGCCAAATCACATGACATAGGCAATTAAAATCATTGGCTAAAATTAAATACCATTTAGCAAAATTAT